CCCCCCCCCCCCCCTCCCAGTGTCCGCCACTAACTATCATGGAGAAAAATATCTGATACATGTATCACTTGTTCCCAAACTAGTAAATGTCTTTAACCCATTGAGTCACATTGCACCCTGATGCACCCTACTTTAGTGTTTTACTCTGTCTAACGCCAGACGATTTTACTCGTCAAGGGGAGAGCGCTGGCGCTTAATGGGTTAACTGGCCTATCTGACCAATTGTGTCTAGTTAACCCATTGAGTCGCATTGCACCCTGATGCACCCTACTTTAGTGTTTTACTCTGTCTAACGCCAGACGATTTTACTCGTCAAGGGGAGAGCGCTGGCGCTTAATGGGTTAATATGGACCATGCTAGCTATTCTGGCATTTTCTTCTGAATCAGTTCCTTCCCTTCAATAAACATGAATACTGGTATAGTAAAGATTGAGTAGAATGTAATAGCAGTTTGTACTGCAGTTAATTGAACATCATTTATCACGGTACTTTAGAAAACGATAAAGAAACATCAAATAGGAAACGAGGATCAAAGGCAAAGTTAAAGAGATCAGCAACTGCTAGTTCAGAAAAATCAAAAAAGAAAGGTAAAAAATCCCAGAAGAACAGTAATGAAACACCAAAGAAGAAAAAGAAAAGAACATGATAGGTAAACTACATGATACACTAAATCATTAATCAAATGTAAAGCCAGCTGGATTACATCACTACAGCATTAATTAAACTGTCAGCCTGAAACTCTCGTTTCTCAGGAATATTGCCATTTACTGCACTGTGGCCATATCCCCAACTTTGATGTTCCGTTGTTTCCAGAGGTGTCTGCTTATGAGAGATGCCCATATCTTTATGTTCTGTTCTGTTTTGCATCCAAGGATGGAAATGACAGTTAAAAACATTGTCTAGTATATTTATGGCAATAAGTTGAACCTTCAAATTAATATTCTTGACAAACATGTGTGAAATTAGACAATGTCTTAGCAATCAACTAAGGGTGCACCAGAACCAATTTTTAAAGTTCCAACCGGACCGGAACTGGAAATAAGTTCCGGCTGGAACAGATTTAATTCAAGTAATCAAGGAGAGAGATCTCTGAAAAATCAGGGTTCCGGCCAGAACTAAACCGAGTTCTGACTTCCAGTGCACCCCTGATGTTGACTAAACCAAATAATCTACTTTCCTAAAAAGGTGTCTCCACATTCCCATTGCCGACATAAACTACTTTGGTCTGTGTGTATGCATCAAATCCATCGTGTCCATTCTCCCGGCCGATACCGGACATCTTAAAGCCCCCAGAAGGGAACTGTGGTCGAAATATGTTGTATGTATTTATCCAACATCCTCCAGCATTCAGCTTCACTGCCACTCTGTGACCTTGAGTAAGGTCGCTGAAAAAACAAAATTATTAAAGTATGAGGCTGGATATAATGGGGAAACTGAACATAAAATTGTCATATGCATGACTTCATCTCACCAGATGAATTTGAATCAGTGTTGGATGGAATAGTTGGAAATACAAACAGGAATATATATGCATAAACAGACACTGTCAGTGATAATAATAATAATACATTTTACATTTTGTTCAATCAATGTCTATTTTTACTATAATATTTTCATCCAATAAAGGTACAGAACTTGCCTCGAAACATCATAAACTTGGTTAACACACTACTGTCACTATAACCACTTTCCTTAATTAGCTACAATTATATTTAGCTAGCAATTTCCCAAATCAGACTTGCGAAAAATAACATAACTACATATTATGTGAAAAATTACATTGAAAGTACAGTATATGATTGTTTAACTTCAAAACTCCAGTCTTGTGAGGGTTGCCATATGTAGTTTCCATCTGTTTTTAGTATGCAAAACAATTTCAGTTGATTTGCCACAAGAATACCACTTAAGGGGTGTGACATTCAAACCACAGTTGGGTCGTCTCTAATTCCTAATTTCATCAAGTAGCCAATTTTTTTTTTGCTAACATACTGTAGCTACTGTAGTTACATGTATTAGTTAACCACACCAGGTGAGCGACTCTGTAGACAGCTTTACTGTACTGTACTGGTACCTTACCTTGTAAACACTCCACTTGCCAATCCATAATGAGTATCGTTTGCTCTCTCAATAACCTCTCCCTCTGTAGTAAAGCTCAATAATGACATGACTGGTCCAAATACTTCCTCCCGTACAACTTTCATGTCATCTCGACAGTTTGTCAGCACACATGGTGACATGTAGTACCCTCCTGAAATCTTGGCATCTGTCATCAATAGACGTTCACCACCACAAAGAACATCAGCTCCCTGTAGAAAGAAACACGCACATGATAATTACAAGCATTAATTGTAAGCCATTACATGTACAAGTGCCAATGCTTCCTACTTTATTATTTTACTACTGTACTGTATGTCTGATGCCAGATTATTTTTCTCTGTTTAACACCAGACAATTTTACTTATCAAGGCGAGTGTGCTGCCACTCAATGGGTGAAAGAACTACTAATAAATTATTTAAAACATGAGTGGCTGATATGACCAGTTACAATCAATATGGCAAGCCAAGGGTTTCACTAGATGGACAAGATGTGGAATGAAGCGATCGATGGGAAGGAAGATGTGTGGATAGGAATTGCAGGGAACGTGGAGGAACAGGGTTGAGATGGTATGGACATGTATTTAGAAGAGATGAAGAAGAGCTGGTCAGAGACATAATGGAATGAAGAGATCAGAAGATTTGGGCTGGTAGACAATGGTAGACATTGCAGAGAAGGCGAGTGAAGCAAGGTTGAGACATGTATTTACAAGAGATGAAGAAGAGCTGGTCAGGGCCAAAATGGAATGGAGAGATCAGAAGATGTGGGGTGCTAGACATTGCAGAGAAGGTAAGTGAAGCAAGGTTGAGATGGTATGGACATGCAATAAGAAGAGATATAAAGGAAAGCTGGTTATGAAATAATGAGATCAGAAAAAGATGTGGGGATGGAAGACCTTGAAGGAAGAAAAGTTGAGATACTATTGACACAATATATAAGAAATAAAGAATAGCCAGTCAGAGCTGAGTGGACTGTGGAATTTAAGAAGATATACGACATCGAAGAAACTGATGAGATTTTTGCATAGTAATTATCTGATCTAATATACCTCGTCTTTTGCAGACTGGACAAAACCCAATACTTTATTCAAATGATCTTCAGAAATCATAGCACCCATCTGCACACTGGGGTCTGCAGGATGTCCAACTTTTATATTCTTTGTTCTTTCAACAATTTTCTCTGTAAATTCATCTTTGATGCTTTCATGAAGAAATACTCTTGTACCATTTGTGCAAGACTAGGGAAATATGATTGAATCACAGTTAATAGAACTGTGACTGAATGAAGAGGTTAATTGATGGTTACCAAACTGGCCTGTTTTGCTAACATCCCATTCAACTAGTTATTGCTTTGTGTGCAAGGGCAGTTGGAAGTGAATCAATATTGGGGGGTTCAAGAATAAATCTGAATTTCTTTCGCACTTTTCTAGTTCTTTTGTGTGTGTTTTCTTATACAAATGGAAATTATTGGGGGGCTTCCCCACTTCCAACAGCCTGGGTGTGGTTTTAGCTGGGCAACCCATAAAGCACGATTCTGCAGTGTAGATACATTACTAATAGAAATTCCTGAAGTTGGCCATCATCTACGCTGCCATAATTAATTTCCTATTAACCCATTGCACTCCAATGTGACATACTTTCTTATTTTACTCTGTCTACTGCCAGACAATTTTATTCATCAATGGGAGAATCTTGCACATTACCTGTCCTACCAATTCAAAATTTGCGTTCAAAGCAGCATTCACCGCATTTTCCATGTCACAATGAGGAAATATAATTAGTGGGGACTTTCCTCCTAACTCCAATGTGACATCTTTGATTCCAGGTGCACAACTTTCCATGATCTAAAAAAATATGTATGAAACATAGGATGTTTTCCCCTAGTCGAGGTGTACAATTTACAACAACCAATAGCTGAAATCAATGTATTTTCAATTCAGTGTATTTTCAATTTTCAAAACGTTAACCTTTGCTCCAGTCTGAATTCCACCAGTAAATGACACCTTGGCTACATCACTATGACGACATAACAACCCACCAGTTTCTGCCTCGCCCTGTACCACATTGAGTGTGCCAGGTGGGGCACCAGCATCATGCAAGATCTCTGCAAGCAGGGTGGTGGTGATAGGAGCAAGGGGCGAGGGTTTGAATACCATTGTGTTACCTGCAGCCAATGCAGGTGCCACTTTCCAGGATGCCCCACAGAATGGGAAATTCCATGAACCGATTGCTGTGAGAAATATAAAAGGTTTAATGACACAATGGTTAGCATATATAATTTATGTGCCTTTCGCATCTATGACCAGTGTAAGATATTTCTGCGATAACTTGTGAAACCAGGTCAGAACTGAACCAATAAAGTGAAAGGTAATTGTTACCCATTGCACGCCAGCAAGTATTGTAAAGTAGGGTGCATTAGGGTTGCATCCTGCTGTAATGCATTGTTATCTTGCTCTGTATAATTTCAGATAATTTTACTGAGATCATCAAGGAAAGCATGCTGGTATTCATTGGATTAAAACACTCCACCTGAAACAATGCCATAAGGTTCCTTGGTGACGTAAGCAAAGTTTCCATCTTCTAATTTGACATGGTGGCCAACGGATGTTGTTGCCAGTGAAGCATAGTACTCTAATGATTCAATTGCACCACTGATGTCATAATGTAATTCACTCGCACACCGTCCTGTAATGTTAAAACGATATCACCATTAGCCAACTTTTAGGGACACTCGATACTATTATTTTCATATTTTATATTCTATATTCAGTTTTGCACAATTTATCCTAGAAATACAATAAGGGTCATCTTGTATTGGTCTAGTACCAACATGCTATCGGTAGAGTCAAGTTGGAAGTACACCTCGCCTGAAAAAGTACTGGATCATCATACCCACCTGTGTCAACACTGTCCCACTTTGCAATTTCATCTTGTCTTTGCCTAACAATATCTGCTGCTCGATGTAACACTTTGGCTCGTTCGATACCAGACAATGCCGACCATTTTGTAAATGCTCTTCCTGCAGCCGACACAGCACTTGTGACATCCTCGTTAGCAGAGCAATTAACCACCCCAAGTAGTTTACCAGTTGCAGGCTCTCGTAGGTCGAAACTGCCTGAACCCGTCGGATAAGATCTTTCACCATTAATATAATTTAAAGGGGCTAGTGACTGATTTCGACATGCTGTATATGAAAAGCATCGATTACTAACTTTTACCTTTGCTAATACAATTGCATTATAATGCCAATTTCTTTGGCATCTAACCAAAAATGACATTTTGTTGCAAAATATGTTAATCTATTGATCCATTATTTTTAATTATCCACTGTATATATCTCATAAAGGCATTCTCCTATCCCCTAATATATATTCGTGTACACAAAGGCATTTTCGTATCCCCTAATGTATATTCATATACATAAAGCATGCTTATATCTCCTAATGTATACTCGTATACATAAAAGCATTCTCATATCCCCTAATGTATACTCGTATACATAAAGGCATTCTCATATCCCCCAATGTTTACTTATATACATAAAGGTATCCTTTAATATATGCTCATATACATAATGTTATCCTCAGAATGACATTTCGTCAAAACTTTTTTCTGCAAGATTGGTTTAGAAACAAATTTGGCATAGGGTTTTAATAGATTAGGGTTAGAGTTGGTGTTTGGAATAGGGTTAGTGTTAGTAAAACCGTTGCTTTGTTACGTTTTGTTACTTTGAGGCCGCACCGAAATAATCTCTTCCAATGTATACTCGTACATACATCTAGTTTCCAGTGCTAGTTTCTCATAACTACACTCTGATAACGACACATATTTCAAAAAAATTACGAAAAGAACGATTTACACTACACAACTTTTGCCTAAAACTGTCGCATGCAACCTGCTTACAACTTAAGTTGTACTGTGTAAATCAAGCCGCTTGATCAGTTGATCTAGTTTTTCACGCGTAAAAACTGATCTCATATCTTGTAGGTGTTCAACAAGTTTGGGACAAGCTGTTACTGTAACAACCTTGTTGATATTATCATGCAGACTTGTTGCAATGTTTTTCCAACAAGTCAATTACGTCTCTGTATGTCTCTACTCTGTGGTGTGAATTAAACAAGTCACATATTATTAGCACTGATGAAGATCTGGGCTTACGGATCGAAAGCTTTGCAGTAATAAATTTACGTGCAGTGGTGTTTCCACAAACAAAACTATTATATGTTTTATCGCCATGCCGAACATACAAAGAACTTATTAAAGTCAATTACAGTCATGATATAACAATATTGTTACACCCTTGTGTCCAGGGCCGGATTAACGTCGCGCGGGGCCCGTGGTAGATTTTTAGCGCGAGGCTCCCAACTCCCCCCCGTTATGAAAACCTTTGAATTCAAAGACACACAAAATTGTAGCCTGCGAAATTGCAGTGGCGGCGCCAGGCCTCCAAATTTGGGGGGAGGGGGGGCATTTGAGGGGCAAACTCAAATTTTGGGGGGGCAAGATAGAATTTTTAAAAAGGTCGCCCCCCAGGAGATTCGCCCCCCCCCCCTCAAAACGTGGCGATATCGCCTCCCAGGGGGGTGGGGCGAATACCCTAGGAATGTCACCCCTCTTTAGGACATTCGCCCCCCCCCCCTATATGCGATGTGGTTTATTCAAATCATTTCGTGATACTTTCATCTTATTAATGCCTTACACGTTTGAGAATTTAACTCTGCAAAACTAAAGCTTTTTTGTCTTTTTTTGAAACGTATTATTGGGGTATTGGCAAGTTTTACCATTCAGAGATTTACAAACTAATATTGAAACTGTAAAAAACAGTTTCATGTATACGCGCATTCACTAATGAGTAATGACAACTTATAAGCCATACATTTTCCGATAACTACAAAACGCTTGTGTAGCCTTTAGTCGCTCTTAGTGACTAATACTTTTTTTTGAGGGGGGGGGCAAAATGGGGGGGGGAATAAATTGGGGCCACTGCAAAATTGTTAAATAACTGTTTTCAATCTTATCCGCAAATCACCGCAATTTCGCAGCCAAGCTATCCCCACCAGGATTTCTGAATAATTTTTCGTTACGTTAAAACTGGTTTCAAACATCAATGAAACCTTTATATTTTGCTAATTTGAGTGCTTTAACAACCTGAATTATCGCATACTCGAACCGACGTGACTGCGTAGCTCAGTTGGCAGAGCATTGGGCTAGTATTCCAAAGGTCGTAGGTTCGAATCCCACCTTGGCCAGGCATGTTTTTCAGGCCTGCCTGGTGTGGATGTACACTCAGAGTAACATCACACAAGCATCTTATTCACCTGAGTACATTACACCAACACAACAAATAACCTGAATTAATTGGCCTGTCTGGCCCAAATCGTTGTGTTAACAAGTATAAAAAGGACCATATAGCAGTTCAGTGCAACTGGAGATTACATGCATACGAGTATTGAATATTTTCCTGTGGCCAACTGCAAGCCTGCGAGGCACCTAGTTCGCGAGGCACCTAAAATTGGCGGGTCCCAATAGAAAATGGGCGGGTTCTCGTAAAAATGGGCGTGGGACAGTAAAACGCGAGGCCCCCATAAGCGCGAGGCCCGCGGCATATGCCGCATCTGCCACGTGGTTAATCCGGCCCTGTTTGTGTCATCAATCTTGTAACATTCTTGTTATATCATGATTGTATCAGACTTGTTAGAACAACTTTGTACCAAGTCTGATAGTGCCATCAAGCTTGTTACAAGTTGTTAACAGCTTGTTCTAAACTTGTTACAACAACTGGGAACAAGCAGTGCGAACACAACTTGTTGACAGCTTGTGAACAGACTTGTAACAACTTGTTTGCAGACCTGTAACAACTTAAGTTTATATAAACAGGTTGCATGCGACAGTTTTAGGCTAAAGTTGTGTAATCTAACTGATCGGCCTTTATAAAGCTTCCTGTCGGGCTCCCGGCTCGTCGGCAAGCAATTCATTTTACTTTTTCTTGGTATATCGGTGGGAAAAAAGCAGAAACAATGTGGAATAAGTTTAGTAAGGCGGGAAAAAAGGAAGGGGGCGAGCTGGGACCGCTGGGTGTGACAGTATTAATGACCTATTTCTCAGACTCGAAATTGTTAGTTTTTATAGTAACAAAAAGAGTGGCAAAGCTTGTTTATATAGCCGCCCACTTCCTTTAGTTTGTGGGCGGATATAAATGCCTTCTTTGCCGTCATGATGGAGACAATGAACCCTTCTCAAGTAGCATGTGGTTTTCAAATCAAAAGCCGCTAAATCCCCAGTCACAGAATATTAAGACATAAACCAGGATGAGAGTTGCAACTCTTCTCGTTTCTCGTTTGATCACCAACTTTCGTGCACTCTCGTTTGAGTCAGTGAAAAAATTCTCTTGCAAACTCTCGCTTCTCAACTCTCCTTTGACCGACCAGGGCTTAAAGTGTTGATACTTAAAGTTGATACCAGTTGAACTGCATCTCAAACACAATGAGTGTTTCTACATTATGAAAAAGAATTACGAAATATATTTTCTCACTCTGTTTATAGAGAGGTTAAGATTGACGTTTTACGGCAGTCTCGTTCAAGTCGTAATTTGAGATCAAGCTGTTCGAAGTTAGGACAATTCGTGCATTTAAATCGAAGAATAAATTGACTAAAAACTTGTCGAAACCTTAGGAAACTTGTAGAACTTACGTTCAAATGCGAATTGAAGTTTGGCGCTTGCGGTTTATACCGGGCTGCCGTAAAAAAACAACCGGTGGTCGTCAGCTGCGCCGAGTTGTCGGTAGTGTTTTTTCTTTGTGCATATACAACAAATAATATAATAATATGAATGGCTTGTTTTATTTACAGTGTATCAAAAATAAAAATATAATTGCCCAGTTATTGGTTTAGGTAAGTAAATCGTATTCCACTTTTAATTTTAGCGTGGGTTTTATCACTTTTATGTATGATTAGCTTTAGCTGATGTTAAGATTAGAAACGGTCAGGAAGTAGGCAGTGGGCTCAATTTTCAAGCCCGAAATCTAAATAACATCACTCTAAACCCGATTGCGTGCCGCTCGCCCAATATATTGCCCAATATTATTCATCAAGTAACGACCAAATTGGGGGAAATCCTGTTTGATATTTTGACGTTTATTTGCACTTAAAATACTTATCTTTCCTTTATATTATGTGGCATTAACTTCCGTGGGAATTCGATGATGTCTTGTGCTATTTTTGACGGCATTCTGTTTTGAATAAGCTAATATTTGGAGGCAGCTTTTACAAGGTATTAGTGCGTGCTTTTATACAGTTCAACTTCACAACCGTTGAGTGCTGATTATCAGATATAAACAGTCGATAACTGTAGCTGTTTACGTGTGATCGTTTGGCTAACAAGCTGTTTAAACTGTTACAGAGTTTATAAAATAAACATTTGAGGGCTTCAATTTGCGATGTCCGGTTTGAAAAACCCATACGAAACGCTGGTTGATAGACTTATCCATGACGGCATAAAAATGGTTGCGGTTGATTTTGATTTAACATTGGTATCTGTTCACACAAATGGGAGTTGGATGTTCACAGCACGGCCATTAGCGAGCAGAATTCGGCCTGGCTTTCCCGAATTTCTGAGCGAGGTCTTAAGAAAGGGTCTTTGGCTTGCCGTAGTGACATTTTCGCCTCAAGTGGATTTAGTAAGAGATGTGCTGAGAACCGTTTTATCTGAGAAAGACATGGAAAGGATTTGTATACGAGGAAATACATCAGATTGGAAGCCCTATCCTAGTTGCAGAAAAGAAGGTAGGTTTGCCACTGTGGCTAGACAGAGTATTTATATACACTCTCCATATAATTCAGTGTGGTTTATATTTGGTTTAAACATAATGAATTTATAATGTTAAACCCAAGGAGTAAAATTGTCTGGCGTTAGACAGAGCAATACACGCTATTTCGTGAGAGGTGCTTTGCTGATATTTGCTGACAAAATCTATTTGTTGACACTCTGTTAATGGGTTAATAAGTGGCACAGGCAGATGTTTTGGTTAATTACCCATTATAGCAAAAAACACTTGCCCCCTTATCAAGAAATATACATAGCTCCCCGATATTGAATTAGGTGGCTGATATCTGACATAAAAAATAAAGCTGTATGGAGAAAGCTGTGTATAGCAAGTAGTGAAAAACCAGAGTAACAAAACAGGTTTGATGTCACTCGCTCACATTGTATTTCATTGAACTTTAGGTAAACAGTCGCACATTGAGTCTGCAGCAAAATATTTTTACAAAGCCAGCAAGATGAAGATCAAGCCGCAAGAAGTATTGCTCTTTGATGACGATGATGAAAATATTCGAGTGGCAAAGACCTATTCCATGAGGACAGTAAAAGTTGTCGATAACACTACATTGCCTAGTTTGCTTTCACGAGACAATTTTTAGGGGAAGCACTCAGCAATCTACACTTGACTCATAAACATTGAGATTTTTGGTGTACATATTATCAAACTCAGCACACTGGCAGAATGCTGAGAAAATAAAGTACCGGTAGCACATTTTCAAGGGGGGATGCTAGTCACCAATTGGGTCATTCCGGAAAACATGCATACCACCCCACAGAGGAAAGTTTACCTCCCTACCCCTTCTGAGTTTGGATGTCCTAATTAGCCATTTCCCAATTGAGCAGAGGACTGGGTCTAGTCGCTTGTTTGGAGAGACAAAAAATAAACAATATACCGAATATGACATCTAGGAAGTTTTCCTACATTCCTAAAGTTATTTGTGCAGCCTGAAATACAACAATTATAATAAGGCATCTTTTAATATATATTTAGCTCGCTCACTAAAACTTGTTGTCCCTCCAAACATCAACTAGACCAAGTTATAATTACACTTACTATTATCAGAAACAAAATTTCTTCACTTCTCCCTCCAGACAGCAGAAATTTCCTCTCTGGGGGGAATGTGGATCTTTGTTAACCTGAATATAAATTACCTAAATGGTAACTAGGATTTGCCTACTTTTTTGGACTCCAGGGTAAAATGATTTGTAGATTACTGTACGTTTGCACAGTAAGTTAGGGAGATGTGCCGGATATTGGTATCTGATATCCAATGAAATATAGACATCCACCAGTTTCCAGTAAAATTTTGTTGAATATTAATTTGGATGCTACTGGAACTTCTGCTACTATCTGGTATCATCCAATATCTGGCAAAACAGCATCTGGCACAGCCTTAATGACAAAAAGTCAGTAAATTGATGAAAGCAAACTCTGATATGACAGTCAAGACTGAATATTTTTATAATTTCGACTTAAACCCTCATTATTTTCTAATTTATTGTTAGATTTATATGATTATGATATATGATGTTAACTTAAATATGTACATAAAGCAAGCACATCTGTAAAGCTTGTCAATGAAGATTTCATAGTCATGAAATAATCAATATGGCAAAAGGCTATTGTTTAAGTTTTTTTGGTGATGAGATTTAAGCAAGAAGGTAAAAATTGAGCTTTGCAGCAGCAAGACGGTCAGAAGTTTTTTGGGCAAAATTAAATGCACCCTTCCCCCAATATTTTGTGAAATGTTCGCTACTGCTTCACTAGCTCGGCATAACATTTTAAACAACAGAGTTCTGGACCGGTTATTCAATAGCCAGTTGGATTACTCCTAGGTTAAAGAAACTTAAAAGCATACCTGTAGATTTTATTTTTGTGGAGGTAGCCAATCTTTAAATGGAGCTAGACTACGCCACATTCTCATACCCAGAGTCTGTCTTACACACAGCCAACAGAGCATGACAAGGGTCGCAATGTACGAGAATGGGTTGCGTTGCATTCTTATTTAATACAGAATATACAAGTGCATTCTGAGAGTGCATTCTTGCAGTTATTCCAGTTAATCAGTAACTCCGGGCTTAGATAACAAGCTCCGGATGATTTTTGGAGTCAGCAACACAGCAAGTACTGTAACTTCAAGCTTACATACACTGTACCTAGCGGGTAGGCTGGCTCACATACTTTTTGAGGCAGTAACTCAAGGCTTAACTCATGATTTTTGGAGTTAGCCAGTAACTCCACAATTCATAACTCAGTTATTTTTGAATTACACAAGTTACTCAAGTGAAAATTTTGGTTTGGAGTAAAGGTGTTTGGAGTTAGCCTTTTAGACTTTGGAGGTAGCGTCGCTCCATAACTTCCTACTTTCTACCGGCATGCTTCAAAGCAAACTTCCTTGAGCTTGTTGCTAAACATGGAAATACTATAGTTCCCCAGAATTCTTGTCTGGTTCAATAAAAGTTTTATTTTCAAAGTTTTGAGATAAACAGAAGTGCAGATGTAGTTTAGCTCTAATCCAGCTTTGAACAACCGGGTCCAGTATTTTATAAGAATTATTATATTTATGTCTAACGTTTCCTAACTATACACTAACATCTTCAGACATTGAATTATTAGACAATTGTTACAGATTATTGCACTACAAGAATTCAATCTGTTCTCTACTCGAGCTTTAAATTAATATGAGATGGTTGTCCACAACTTGGTATATACTAAGATTTAGTTATCATTTTCTAAAAAGTGGTTGCATTCCATACACGCTCTGTACCCTTCTCTGTGATAAGCAGTAAACATTCGAGGAGTATAAAACTGGTTTGCTGTTGGGTGACGAGGAAATTTGAAACAGCTGCCACAGCAGTCGCAACAATTTTTATGGCAGCACTCACAACAACCAAAACCTCCTGGGCATCCTTCAATATCTTTCACATCATCTTCCGTCAGATATGGCCCCGGGCCCCACATTTTTTCATCCAATTCTTTTCCTTCACAATTATTATCAACCCACGTTTGATTTTCAACTAACCCGTTTTTATCACTCTGCCCACAACAGCACCACAGCTTGATTGCAGCTAGGCATTTAACCTTTTTAGGATTTTCCGGTGAGCGTGGGGCAATAAGGACAATATGCCCTTCGCTAACTCCATTGTCGTCTACATAAAAATAACAACATGGTCTCTTTGCTTTTATGATGATGTATATAAAAAAAAACACTTTAATTTATCTTATTTAAGTAATCGCCTTTAGAGGTATTCTTCGAGGTCTGACTTAACCCCCTGAAAACATATTTGAAGTTTAATGTTCCAGGGGGGTAAATGCCTTTCTTCAGCGCATTTGCTAAGAACATGACCACAGAATAAGGCACACACAGAAGGGCACCCTGGCCGCCATCTTCCTAGCCAGTCGATTACATTTTCTGGCCAATAAACGCGCTGTATTGGCTGAAGGCCCCGCCTTCTGGCCAGTCAACTGCATATTTTTGCATAGAAAAATGGCGACACATTGCACCGCTGAGTGGCCCTTCTGGTACTAATCTAGACAAACATTTTATCGCAACTTGAAAGAGCATCACAAAATTAGTAATATTCCAAAGTTTCGTTGCAAAATGTTGTAAAATGCGGTTAATATAGCCTTGCGAAGTTTGCCGTTATTACAAACGGGAAATTGATAATCAGATGATCAAACTGATTATCAATTTCCCGTTTGTAACTATGAAAAACGGCAAAATTCGCAAGGTTATATTATCCGCATTTTACAACATTTTGCAACGAAACTTCGGAATATTACTAATTTTGTGATGCTCTTTCAAACTGTGATGAAATTTTTGTCCAGGTTTGTCTTGATCAAAATTTCACTTAAAAGAGGAAAGGTCTATTAGCGGTATATATCATATCAAATGTTTCGTCAAAACATATTTGGGGAACAAATTTCAGGAGTAGTTGCCCGATAAATGTCAAAACCAGTTCATGTACAAATAATTGCCGAAAGTAACTCGTAGTTTGTCTGTAGCCTTAGAGTCTAGCTTAAACGATCAATGATGTGTTTTCCATAAAAAAGAAGTTCACTGTGGGTTTAATGTGTTGAAATATACCTACCTTCTGAATTATTTTTTGAGTAATGAACTTTGAATTCGTATTTCCTCAAATGTTTTCCAACAAACTTATTCTTTATTTCTGTTAACACATCAGTTCCGTCAGTCATTGAAGTAAAGGAGCAATTGAATAACTTTCGCGCATGCTCCATTGCCGCTATGATGTCCCTGGCGTAGTCATCAACCGATTTAATTTCTGAACCATTCACAACCAGGATTTTCGGTAGTCGCAACTTCAACAGTGGTAAGAGGCCATAGTTTTCAAAATGTCCGCCGTCACTTAGGTGCATCATTGCTGGAGGCGTTTCACCATACGTTATTATACTCAAAATTGAGCGAATAAAACGATAAATCGGTACGTGTACATTGCACCATCTGTAAAAAAAATATTTCTTCCGATGACACCTCTGCCAGCATATTATAAGTT